TGTATTTACCTTTACATTAACTGACTAAAAATTCAGTAAAGTTAGCAAAACTGCTTTTACTCGTTTCTCACAAGTTTGTGATTCCAAGAACTAGCTACTGAACTAAATTAATTATTTTTATTTTTATTTACAAGCACGAGGGTAACCATACAGAAATAGAACCAAGGGTGGGAATCGAGTCCACTTTTCCGCAGTAGCTACACAGCCAACGTTACGCGCCCTCTAGCGTTGGCTGTGTAGCTACAGCGGAAAAGTGGACTCGATTCCCACCCTTGAATAGAACTTTCAAACTTTAAAAAGTTTTTATTGTTTTGTTTCGCTGCTAGCGTTCTGGGAGCTAATCGATAGTAAATTGCAGTTGTGGTAGTAATGCAGTGGTAGTGGTGGTAATTCGGCAATAAACTTTTTTCATGTTTTGAAAAATAAAAAATTAAATAGTAAAATAGAAAAGATCTTTTACCGTCAATTTCTTCTTGGAAGGAAGACCGGCGAGGAGCACATTTCAAATCTTTGATTTGATTTGTTTCTCTATTTTAGATAATTTTTTTTACAATTACTAAAGTCACTAGCACTACTTCTTCTTCATGAACGTCTCGGTGAACTTTAAAATGTACGCCGCGTACATCATGACAAACTGGTGACAAATTGGGAGAAAACGGGAAAAGATATATGAGAAAAAATTGCTAAAAACTCCTTTTTCGGTAAAATCTTCCAAGTTCTCACCTCTAGAACTGTCCACTGCTTGACTCTGCCAAACCAGGGCACGGTGATGCCCATGAAGGCGTTCCGCCCGGTGACCAGCTCATAGTAGCCGGACACCTTGAACTTCAAAGACCACCGAAAAGGTCCTCTGCCTCCTTTTGCCCCTCCTCCTCCTCCTCCTCCCAAGGGCACATTCATCAACTTCATCTGCAAACGGTAGAGCCATTTTGAAGGGCTAGTAATCGCGGCATTCAGGTATACCACCGGCAGGAGAATGCCAAGCAGCTGCAGAAACTGAAACTCCACCACCAGCAGAAGACAGAGCTTGGTGATGGTCGAGTGGTTGGTGGCGTAGAGGAGGTAGCAGATGACGTAGCAGTTTGAGGGCACGTTGCCGGCCATGAAGAAGACGATGATCTTGCTGTACAGGCGGTTGTAGTGGTTGAGGAAGGCCACAATGGCCGTGTGGTAGCGAAAGACGAAGCCCATGCGCAGGCCGACTGCCTTCGCCGCCTTCGAAGGCGGAAGTGGACCTTTAGGCGGAAATAGAGGTAAAGACGATGAAGGTCCTGCACCCATCTGCTGCTGCTGTTGCTGCTGCTGTTCCGGATTCTGCATTGAGAGGATCAGATTGAGCTGGGCAATCTCCTTCACTGTCGCATAGCAGATGAGCATGTTGTTGAAGAGGCAGATGTACGACACCTGAATGAGCATGATCAACATGAAGAAGTAGCTAATCAGATCGAAGACGTTGGCGAGGAAGCTGAGCCAGGCAAACTCGGGCAGCTTCTCTACGGTTCGGATGAAGGAGAGGAAGACGATCAGCAGGGCGCCTGAAAAAGAAAGGAGTAAACTGTTAGTGTTTCGTACAACAAAAAGGAGTTTTCAGAGTTTACCCCAGATAAAGGCGAACATAAAGGACTCGGAGAGGACGAGCCACTTGAGGAGCTTGACGCGCACTTCTATCGGCAGGACCTTATAGTAGGTCAGCAGGGGAATGTGGTCCAGCGGATCACCTCCACTTCCACCACTTCCACCACTTCCTCCTCTCCTTCTCTTATCTCGGCGAAGAATCTTCACCAGCTGCGCATTGTCCACCGAGTAGTCAACCGCCCCCTTGAAAAGATTCAAATTGTAGCAGGTCAGATCGTAGACGTGCCGCCAGACGTCCGCATCAGGGTGGTGCAGGTTGAGGAAGTACACCACAAAGGAGTACAACCAGATGCCGCAGATGAGCTGAAAGAAGTAGCCCATGTTCAGGCCTAGACTCTCAAAAAGGTACATCATAAAGTCGATGCGCTCCAGCAGGTACGGCTCATCGGCCAGCAGGGAGGCGCCTTTTAGGAGGCAACGGGCAGAGAAAAGGGCCAGCACCCCGTAAAAGAGGTAAATAAAAAATTTTCGGCCCCAGGAGAGGTGGTTCGATCGGGCGACAATCCGTTCTGCATTGTGGTAGTAAGAGATCTGCTTGGTGACGCCCGCCACCACCCGAATGACGCCCTCGCGCAGTGACATGGCCCGCTGGAAGTGCGAGGGATAGCTGTCGCTGAGGAAGTCTAAAATCCACGTACGACAATCGAGGGCTACTGCTCCTGAAGAAGAAGAAGAAGAAGAAGACGATGATGATGATTGGGAAGCAATCTTGCTCTGACAGTGTGTCTGTGCTGTGTTGTTTTGAAACAAAAATGAGGAGGAGGAGCTGGAAAGAAGTATTGGGAGAAAAGAAGTATTTACAGCTGTCAACTACCGGCGCCCTCAACAGCCGCTTTGTGCGCCTGAAAAGAGTCTGCAATGTTTTTTTGGTCGGTGCGCTGAAATTGCCAAGAGTGAGGAATTGGTGTGTTGGCTTTTAATTAATTAATTAATTAAAAGCCTGCCTGTTTATTGACAAGTGAGAGGGGAAGGAGAGAGAGATAGTGCTATTTGTGCAATTGCTGCTGCTGTGTAATCGTTTACAACTTTTTTCTCCTGCCAAGAGGAGTACTTTAGCGTGTGTTTTGGTAGTCGATTCGGAAATGTACCGAGTTTTTTCAGGTGAGGTTTTGTTTTGTGAGTTTTTTTTCAAATATTAAATGTTTGGTTTAAAAGGTTGAAAGTGAATGAATGGCTGCAATGGTTTTATTTTTAGAGTAGTTTTTGCACCACTTCTGCTCAATTTTCTTAGATCATCACAACTTGAGCACAAAACTATTAATTTAAAATTTGAAAAAATGACACTTTTTGGGAAGTTTCTGAAGATTTCACTATTCTTTTTTTCTTCTTCTTTTGCAACCTTAGAAAAAAGAACGGAGCAGGGTTGAGCTATCATTGCACAAAGCACAGTTCAAATTTGTAAACCTTATTTTTATTATTTCATTTGGCAAGATTAATAACGCAGTTCAATTTTGTCGTTTCGTTTTGTCTTTCTCTTGGAACCTGTCAAGTTGCTGCTCTGTTGATAAGTGAAACTGATCGGTTTTGGCGTTCACGGGAAAAACAACCCAAATACATTGCACAGTTGCCGTACAAGGTACAGGAACAGTTGTCGGGTGGCTGCCTGAAAACAGCACACAATTCAAAAAGCCGAGTGACGTTCTCTTGGCGGCAGCTGTCTTTCAATTAGACGAGCGAGGTAGGTAAGTCACAGTTTGATGATTAAACTTTCTGCTCAACAACAACAGCAAATGATCTTTTCCTTCCTCATTCTTCTGAGTAATATACAGCTTGAATAATTAAAAATAAAAGAAAATGAATTAGTACAGGGAAAAACTTTTAAACAAAAAGAAAAAATTAAAAATTTTCTTCTGGTGCGATTCATGCAGCGGAAAAAACTAGCTGTCAAACGAGTGGTGGTGGTGGTAATGGTTGGCGCAAACAGTCGTAAATTACGAAAATAAACTCGATTTTCAATTTAATAAACTCAAATTATATAAATCTGATTTGGTTTAAGCGGAAATTCGCACGGGCGCAGATTTTCCGCCAGCGGTCGATACCAAAACCAGTGTCGACTATTTGTGATAGCTATTGTCAGTTTGGTGCAGTAGTAGGGTGAATTGAAAAAAAACATTTTCAAACTTTTTCCACTAAAAAGTAGCCTAAAAACTGTACTTAACTTGGCGATGAAGTAAACAACAAAAATCCGGTAATTGAAAAAATGTTTATGTCGATAAATGTGCTACCAGTTTCGATTGGTGTAGAAGTGCAAAAAGGACCAAAAACAAATAGTGACTCGTTTAATATTTGCGCTGAAAAGAGGCAATTTCATAACTTAAAAGTACCATACTTGTCTGGCTAGCAAGTTTAAAACAAATGTCGTATTTCTGGTGCGTTTTAGAGAGGTTGCCACATGAGCGTTTACAAAAATAAATAAATAAAATGTTTCATAACTGAAAAAAACTCCGGTATTTGAACTGCCATTTCGGGAGAAATCGTTAAAATTTCCTGTTGGCACAAATGTATCAGTCATGTAATATTATTCATAATGAACACACACACTTTTTTTTGTCACTAAGTAACACTGTGGAGTAATTAAAACAGTGTTTGTCAAATGTGCACATACACACCAAACAGAAAGAGTAGACATTTTAAACATTTATAACTAAGTAAAAAGTTTTTAACATATTTTCATAAAATGTTTTTGTTCAGAAAAGTTTTGTTCCAGCTATCGCTGGCTACTGCCAGCGCAGCCGGTAATCTGCTGATAAAGCTGCAGATAATCAAAACAATAGCCTACTTCCAGCGCTACTTTCAAACGCTAGATAATGTAAAGCAAAGAAAATTACTAACTCTTTTCAAGTTAAAAGTGGTCCGTTGTTTAGTGGCCCTGAAGGCGGCCCACTTCCTCTGGCTGGTGGTGAACCACGATCGCCTGAGCCCAACTGAGCACATGCTGCACTTCAACTTCTTCGTTCTGGAGCGGCTGCCCAGCTACATCTCCTTCTTCACGGCGCTCATCACCCTCTTGGCGGTGAAGCTGCTGCGGGTGATGTACCTCGGAAATCACGGCCTCAGCTCTGCTGTTTTCCGTCAAATTCTGCTCGAGAGCGACCACTCCTTCACCGTGACTGTACACTACAACTTTCCGCTAATTTCCCAGCTGTCAACCTTCTTTCCAAATAATCATCTACTGAACAATAACATCTGCACCAACCTGCAGATGATGTCCATAGCGCTGATCAACACCCTGCAGGTGGTGATAGTTTTATTGGGTAAGATTTTGCACAAAATATTTGTGAAATTTTTTTAAACGTAATTTTTCAGATTTACACATCATCTCGGTGTTCATTCAAGTGCACCGTCAGTTAAGCTTTGAAAGCAGTTTACAATATTTTCAACTCTGCATTTGCTTCCTGTCGACGCTGGCCAACGCCAGCACCGTCCTCTCCACGCTGATCCTCGTAGGCACCTTCAGTCTGCTCCTCTTTGCCATCTCCTATCTTCGTTTCCGCCACTTCGAAGCCTACCTGGCCGCCCAGAACTGCTTCACCTTCAGCCGCCGGCGTTTCGCCTACTTCGAGGCGGAGTGCGTCACCTCGCTGCGGTGGATGGCCGACACCAACGCCGTCTACGGCTTCGTCTTCTTCCTCTTCACCTCGCTCACCCTGCCCATCAATGCCATCTTCACCATGCTGATGCTCTTCGGCCAGGTCACCGGAAATTATCGGGTCCTGGTGGTGATCTTCGTCATCCACCAGGTCTTCTTCGTCGTCTTCTCCTTCATCGCCGCCATCGGCCTGAGCGAGCAGTTCCACCGGCCGGCCAAGCGGTTGATTGGCCTCTTTGTCAAGTCGCCCGCGGTTCGGCAGTTCCGGTTCCGCCTGAGGCTGGCTGAGTACATTGAGCGCTTTCACACCAACAACCACTATGGAGCGAACTTTGGCGGCAGTGGAAAGATAAGCTGGCAGTCTTTTGGAAAGGTTTGTAAAGGAAGTGGATTTGAAGCGGTAAAGGCAGACTAAGATTATAACTGATTTGTTTTGTTGGTAGATGACATTTTACTATGTGAAATATCTGATATTTTTCTACAAATTGGTAAAGTACAACAGCGGCACAGAGAACTTTTGAGTTAGCATCAAAGAAAGTGGCTGTACGCATCAACAGGTGTCGTTGCAAAGTGGTTATTTTTGATAAAAATAAAAAATTTTAAATTAAAAACTTTCATTCGTTTGAAATTTGTCAGGCATTTTCGGCACAAAACTGTACAAACCCTTTTTCATTTTTTTTATACTATAAAAAACTCTCACTGTCTGTAATCAATCGCCAAAAGTCGCACAATTGGTGTCCTCTAATTCATCTGTACTCTGCCCAAAGATGCACCGTTATCAACCTCAACACCACCTTCACCTTCACACAACTGCTGCAGCTGCAACCATCGTCTTTTGTCAACAAATTTCCGATGTTACATGAGAAAGTACAAACTAAGTAGAAAGAAGAAGTGAGATGACCAGCAATACTAAAGTTTTTTTCCATTTACTGCTGCTCTCTAATCGGCAAGGTAAACACAAGCCAGGGCTGATGCTTCCTCGCCGATTGGGAAATCGCCCGTACTCTTCACCTCTTTACTTCTGAAACAGCAACTACCACTGCAATCAATCAATCAGCTCTGTTCGCTACTATCAAAGCAAACTACGATTTCTTGCACTGTACCTTGCAAGATCTTGCCCCCCCCACTCCTCTTCTACTTGCTCTTTACGCAAGAGAGCACCAAGAGCGCGCCAATCCTCATCAAACATTTGCCCAACGAACACACACACGCGTTCAACTTTTTACACCCATTGTTTTGAATCTTTTTTGTTTTGTTTTGCTTTGTTTCGCTCCTCTCTGTAGTACCTTTTTCGTACTCTGCTTTTTCTGTCGACTAGACTTGACTTTGATATTGCTCAATGCTGCTGCTGCTGCTGCTCAGTCAATCAACTATGACCAGTGCACTGGTACGGACAAACTGTCCTTCACTGACAAGGGAAATAGTTTGATCTTCCCGACGAACTTTTAATCGAATGCGTCTGCTGTACCTACCCGTCACTGTACCTTCACTTGTCCAAATCACATTGCTAATTAACTACGAAAAAACTGAAAAGCTTTCATTTTCATTCATTGTCTCCAACAAAAAAAATCTCGCCCCTTTTCAATTAGCTAATTACGCTACCCAATTACCCTTCAGTCCTATTCAATCACAGTCTCGCTACCTTCTCCCTCAAGCCCTTGATTGAGTCAACCTTCAAAAAACCTACGCCAATGACTGACTTTGGGCGTCAAAAGAAGTCAGGCCAGGCCAAAAAAGCCAAAAAGTCTTTACCGTCCATTAACCGGTAGATTGGTTGCAGACAAAGGAAGCAAAAGAAGGCAGGCAGGTACCTGACACGCAAACCAGTGCACTGAAGCAGTCAGTGCAGAGAACTTTCCATAAAAAAAGATTTTTCTGATGTTCACCATTTGCACTTTCTCACTCTCTCGGTCTGTGTGTTTGCACACCCTTTCACTTTGATACGAAGAAGACCCTGGCTACTTAAAACTGTTTTGACCTTTACCGTTTCCGAGAAAATGTTGCTGCTGCTTTCCCCCGCTAAAAACTAGACTTTTTCTCGCAAAATCGCACAAAGATGGCTGCTGCTGCTGCTGCTGCCGTTGACACTTTTAATTTTTGCTGCTGCCAGTTGCACGCAGGATCAGTTTAGTGTTTGCTTTCATTAAAAATTCGTCCCTTTGCATTGAGATAGGGAAAGAGAGTGAGGTGCAATCCTTGAATACTAAATTCAATGTCTTAACCTTTCTCTAGCTCTATCTTCTAAAATGAATTTGCGCCCCAAGCTTAGCAGCAGTAGCAGCGGCGGCAACTTTGGCTGTGAGATCACGCGTGGTCGGCCGCCGATCTGGCAGTGATATTTAAGTGAGCAGTGATTTTGCTTCTCTCTCTTTCTATCAACAGCTTCTTCTTCCTCCTTCTCCTTCTTTTTTCTGGCTACTCGTCTTGTGGTCAGCTAGCACTTGTCTGCTAATTAGTGCTCTGCCGGCCACACACTGTCCCAACTGACTGACTGACTGACGTGTTTATTTAGCAACCACGACCACAGGAGCTGAGTTGTCTGTGATGTCAATATTTGCCTGTTAGAAGGGGACTGCCTGCAGATCAGGTGCCAAGTGAAAAATACAGAGACAGTCTAAATAAAAGACAGAAATGCTAGAACGCTAAAAGCGGATTAGCGAATATAATATGCAGAGGACAAAAATGGAAGTAATCATTTTTTTCAATTTTTGATTGCTGCCAAACAAGCATGATGTGATGAATTTGCTTTGACAACTTTGCTGATTAGTTGCCGATGGATGTGAAGGTGGTGGCGGCAATCCATGTTTTCAGTTTGCCATTAAATGCCAATTAAATGGCGTAATTACATGTGTTGTTCAATTTGAGGTAAAGATATATCAGTTTTCATTACCACTTCAGATTCCTCTAACTGATGTACTTTCTACTAAACAAACAATCTTTATCAATTTACATCAGAAAAAAAGTGTATTCAATTATCCTCGAATAGGCTGCTCTCGATGATATGTGAGTGGACTATGATTACATCAACATCATCATCATCCTCATAGCACCTTAGCTGCTGCTGCTTCCTCAAATTAGTCAGTTTCATCCGCTGATGCTGCTGCTATTGCCGCACTACTTGGAAATGTATAATAATCATAATCATAAGGTGCTGATATTTGAGAAAGGCATAAAGAGAGAGTCGATGGACCATTGGACAAAAGTCAAACGCGACGAAAGTCTCAAAGGTCAAGGGCGATGACGAGCAGCAGCAGCAGACGACGGCGGCGGCTACCTCAACGTTGAGCTAATCAGAAAGAGAAAAAAGATGGTGGCAGTAGTTTTCGAGGTCACCAGGACGGACAAGTGCACCACAGTGAGAGAGAGAGAGAGAGAGAGAGAGAGAGAGAGTAAGCATTAAAGTAAGAGTAAGGAAGACAGAAAGGCGCACAACCGTGGTGGTCAACAACGAGGAACTAGAAATCGAACAAGCCCGCGCACACAGTCAAATTAGCTCACTGAGAAGTCTTATTGTTTGTAATGTAGCTCACAGGCTCCAAAGGTGGTGGTGCTGCTGGTGGTGGTGATGGTCACCACTTGGTGGTGAAACCATCAAATCACCATCAGTCATATGGATCAGACGGTGGTGGCGCCGGTGATGGTGGTTTCCTCGACCTCGAAACGTTCGTGCAAACTCAATGTGAACCGAAGAGAATGTGTGCACCAAAGAAATTTTAGAACAGACTGCCTTTTTCTTCGAAAGCAATTGCAAATTCATATCTGCAGGCAGAGATTCCAACTGTGCAGTGTGGAGAAAACCGGACAGAAAACAGTTGGAACCTTGAACTGAATCCAAGAGTCTTTTCTAGTTTTTCAGTGGCTCTCCCCAAAAAAACTTTATACTAACTTATCCAAACAAACAAACAAACTGCACACACATACATTACAACCGGTATGATGGCTGCCTCCTCTTTCTCTTGAAAAGAAAACTTCTTCAAAAGATGCCGAAACGTGATTATGACTTTCTTTTTTGCTCACACTCACATCATTTCAGAGCGTCTGAAATGACAGTTTAGTGTGTCGAAGTGTGTGTGTGGCACGTCTGTGCAATACTGTTTTTGTCTGGCTGGCAATGGCCTCTCTGCACAGCTAATGATGGCTACTGTTTGATTAGCACTAAGAGATGATGATGGATACATGTCATCCCATTTAGTGGTGGCCAGTCAATAGTCAGTAATCAGTCGATGGAACTGAACTCGTAAATCACTATTTGATCAGAAAGTGAAAAGAAGTTCAAATCGATTAAGTTGCTACGGCGCTTCTGCCTGCTGATGAAGCTCACTGGACTGATTTTTGAGCATTTTATAATAATAGAGCTGCTGCTGCTGTTTGTAGTTTAAACTGAACAAATTGAGCATCTTTCTTTTATGTAGTCAGTGTGCCAAAACAGCATCAAACTGAGAGTTTTGTTCTTGTCTTCACCTTCAGTTAACCTTAGCGGTTGTTGTTTGTCAGGCGACAAGCAAGCTCTGTTCGGAATGCAAGCCATTAAAATTGACAAGTTGTAGGCTTCACTGACTGACTGTTTGATTTGAACATTCATTGCACTTTCTCTGTTTTGCTAGTGGGCTCTTTCAGAAACTGCTGCTGCTGCCGCAGCCATTAGAATTGCTAATTAGAATGTAGCAGACACACAGTGAAGAAAGAACGGAAAAGAAGAAGAAACCAAAATAATATCTGTCATTTGATAAGGACTGATCATCAGTTCGCCGAACAGAAAGCAGGTAGTGGTAGAAGTAGCTGACGACACATGGGCAGTCCTTTTAAAAATGAACACAGTGACGAAAAAGCTAATTAAGTGAGAAAACACCTCAGGTGAAGGTTCTTTTTATCCGCTGATTCTAAAAATCTAATCAATTTAGAGTGCTGCCAAGATTGAAAACAAGAACAGGCGAACAGCGGCAGCAGTCAAAATACCCAAGATCGTTGGAAATTGATTCACATTAACTATTACCACTACTAAACACTTACTTGCTTGCTCGTCATTGTGATAAGGTAGAAAGAAAAGATCAACGCTTATCATCGCCTAAACATCAGCAATGCAGACCTGTTCACCTGTCAATTCGGCGCCTGAGATGCAGAGTAGCGAAAAAGTAAGATTTATCTTCTCAGCAAGGAATTGCGTAATAGGCTGAGTGCAAATTGAGAGTACAAAGTGCACAGTATACAGGTGTTATAATCCTCGCTCTCTCGTGTACGGAAGATTTGCAATGTGTTTGACTAAAAAAAAGCGAAAAAGGACTTACCAACATTTTTTGGGGAAATATGCAAATGATGATGATGTGAAAGCAAACGCCAAAAAAGTTTTCACCAGTAAAAGTGGTAAAATATTCTAATGCTAAAGTTGGATTGCATTCTATTTTATCCGTTGTTGTTGGAAGGTCGACAAACTAGCAAAGGGTTTGACCGGTTTCTTCTTCTTCTTCTTCATCAATCAGTAAAGTTTGCACCTGTCTCGAAGATGTCGGTTTGAGCTTTGTATTCCAGCGACAGTGTTAGTGCAAAACAAAAAAAACAACACGACCGACAGTTGACCGACCGGAGAACAATGGATTTCGTTGGATAAAAAGTTGAAAACTTAGAAGCGATAATTGAACTCCTTTTATTGCCCTTTCAAATGCAGCTTTTCCTCCTGTACAACGCAACACAATAAAAAACATTAGCATGACCACCGGTCATCATTGTACTAAAAAATCAAGAAAAACAAACCTTTTTATTGCATTGCAATACCTCGTTGTTGTTTGTCATTTTAAATAGCAATAAATCCGCGTTGAACAATTACAAAGAAAGAAAAGTCGAAATTAAAACGTGAGAGTTCTTTGAAAGAGTGGAGAATTTATTCCATGACATCATTGGATTTCGTTTTGGCGGCAAAAGCGGTAACGTACGCTGCGGAGAGGCGGTTGGGTGGGCAGTCGGCAGTGGGCAGCAGCCCCCTGAGCAGCTCTTTTCCTTCTTTGGCAGTGCTAAACAGCGATTGGTCCAGGGGGCGCAGCTCCCTCACAGCAACTCACGTGAAGCGCGCACAAAGAAGAAAGAAGCGAGACAGTGTTCTTCTGCTCTCTCTGTCAGTTGATCTGCAGCAGAAACACAAACAGACGACTTTTCACCATCATCATCAACAACAGTGATCACCTCAACCTGCCACTGCCACCACCAGTTATCACTTCGGCATCACACCCCCTTCAACGACGATGACCTTCGCCAAGGAAGATCGACTGAACTGTCGAGCGCAGGAACCAGAGGAGGAGGACGAGGAGAGCGAAGGCGAGGACTACGATCCGGCGCAGGATGAAGAGGGCGATGACGATTCAGAGGGCTCAGAACGGTCCGGAGATGAAGAGGAGGACAACTACGGCGGCGACGACGACGATGATGGCGAGGAGGAGGAGGAGGAGGCGATGTCGGTTGACAATGATCGCCAAGGGTCCCGAAATACTGTCGGCGGTGGCAATGGTGAGAGCAGTGCTCCCGGTACCTCAGCTGCCACCGCCACCACCGCCAGCACTGTGAAAATCGCCGGCCCCTACGGAACCCGACCGGGCACGGAGGCGGAGGGCGGCGGCGAGGTGGACATGTCGAAGGAGGAGTGGTTCCACAATGAGTACTACAAGATCTGGAAGAAGAACGCCATGTACCTCTACGACCTCCTCATCACGCACACCCTCACCTGGCCCTCGCTCACCGTCGAGTGGGTGCCCGAGCCGGCGGACTCGATGCAGACGGGCGGTCCCGGCAACAGCAGCACCACCACCGGTCACCACGGCCACCACTTGAACAAGGACATGCTGCCGCAGCGGCTCATTCTGGGCAGCAACACCTCGGGCACGCACGCCAACTACCTGATCATCCTCAAGGTGATGCTGCCCAGCTACGACCTGCAGCGCAACCCCAACGTCACCTCGATGCGCCACCCCTCCGGCTACGGGGCGATCAACAGCAAGGTGGAGAACTTCATCAAGATTCCCCACGACGGCGACATCAACAAGGCCCGCCTCATGCCGCAGAACCCATTTCTCATCGCCACCAAGTCTTCCAACAACAAGGTCCTCCTCTTCGACTACGAGAAGCACGAGAGCGACCCGGGCGAGCCGGCGGAGGGCCGCAAGGTCAGCTGCCGCCCGGACATGGTCCTCGAGGGGCACGACGACGAGGGCTTCGGCCTCAGCTGGAACCCCTGCAAACGAGGCGTCCTCGCCTCCTGCGACAACAGCGGTGACATCTGCATCTGGGACGTGGACGCCGGGAAGACAGGCGTCGGGCGCACTCTGCAGCCGCGGGAGAAAATTGTGAAGGCGCACAACGGCGCCGTCTGCGACGTCCAGTGGCACAACCTGTCGGGGCTGCTTGCCTCCGCCGGCACCGACGGCAAGGTGAAGATCTACGACGAGCGGTGCCGGGCGTCGGTGCACGCTATTGACGCCCACACCAGCGACGTCAACTGCATCAGCTTCAACCCCTACTCAGACATGATTTTCCTGACGGGCTCGAAGGACGAGACAGTGGCCCTCTGGGACATGCGCAACCTGGGCATCAAGACGCACACCTTTGAGGGCCACAAGGATGAAGTCTTCTCGGTAAGTGTTCAGGGTAATGGGGGATGATGGGGGTTAATAGAATTATGCTTTTCTTTAGGTTGCCTGGGCCCCGCAAAAGGAAACCTACTTCGCCTCCGCCTCTGCGGACAATCGCGTGCTGATCTGGGACCTGCGCTCCATTGGCAAGCGCCAGTCGGAGGAGGACGCAAAGGAGGGCCCCCCGGAGCTGATGTTCATCCACGGCGGGCACACCGACAAGCTGTGCGACATTAGCTGGAACCCGCACGAGCCCTTCCTCATGGCCTCCGTCGCCGAGAACAACGTCCTCCACCTGTGGAAGATGGGCGACCACGTGATTCGCACCACCGAGGAGGCCAACGCCAAGTGGTAGGCGGCGGCGGCGGCGGAGCACTCACTTCAGCTTTTTATTATTCCTCTTCTGTCTAATTGTAACACTCGCACTGGCGCGCGCACTTTTATACTTTTGTCGGCGTCGGCGTCGTCCGCATCTCAGTCTTTTTACTTCACTTCACTCACTCACTTGTAATTCCGATGCATGCTTCAGTAGTTGTGATGTGATGGTGCCAGTTCTGCAGTGAAGCAAAATTGATCATCACCATCACCATCATCAACAACAAACGCAGCAATTAAATTATCACAATGTCATTGTCTTTGACGTATGTCGTTTGGTTTTGGTGGTTTCCTCCTCCTCCTCCTCCTCCTCCTCCTCNTTTTATACTTTTGTCGGCGTCGGCGTCGTCCGCATCTCAGTCTTTTTACTCCAATTCACTCACTCACTCACTTGTAATTCCGATGCATGCTTCAGTAGTTGTGATGTGATGGTGCCAGTTCTGCAGTGAAGCAAAATTGATCATCACCATCACCATCATCAACAACAAACGCAGCAATTAAATTATCACAATGTCATTGTCTTTGACGTATGTCGTTTGGTTTTGGTGGTTTCCTCCTCCTCCTCCTCCTCCTCCTCATCAATTGCAGCAGCCGCTCTGCAAGTGCACACTCTGTGCGCTTCCCTCACGTGACAGTATAAAAGTAGGTCAGCGACTCAGGTTGCAGACTCTCTCTCTCTCTCTGCCCCTCAGCTTTTCCCCTCTGTGTGTGTCTGATTGGCCTAGTAGAAGAACAGAAATCTGCTTTGGAATTCTCTCCTCTCTCACTTTCTCTCTCTCTCATGTAATTCGTCATGTCGATTCTTCATCGGGGAAATTACCATCATCAGTACCATCATTACCATCATCATCATCATCACTGTGGATGATAAATTGTTTTAAAATTAGCGGTGCTAAGCTCTCTCGTTTGGAGGGGGCTAAACTTGAAAAATTATGGCGGCAAATTTTTTTCGGACATTTTCTCCGTGTCGAATGTAAAATGCCTAAGCGGCGGATTTCTCTTTTTTCCCACCTGAGGAGAGAGAGAGAGAGTCATTTGTCAAGTCGCTTTTGGTCAGATTTGTGAAATGTGCCTGCACTTAGCAGCAGCAGCAGCAGCAACCACTGCGGCTAATCGATTGAATCGATATCTAGCTTAGCTGCAGCAGCACCAGCCACTGGTGGTAATTGTCCATCAGATAAGGGGGAAAGAGTGGCTTTCCAACTCTAACTCTCCTTCCATTTCTTTTTCTCTTCGGTAGTAATAGTACATACAAGCCCCATTGTCAGCTGCTAAACACACACACACGCACACGCACTTTATGCAAACGCGTTTGCTGGCGTTGAACGGTCGCAGAAGAAAGGAGAGAGATAATTTCTGCCTTCCAGTTTGTCTGTGTGTGTAGTGGACATCGAGTGGACATTTTGTACAGTCTAGACGCTGGAGGAGAAGAAAGGAGAAGAGGTGCCCTTTCTCTTCATTAAAACAACAAAGTGCATTTCTTTTACTTTGTGCCTCATTTCTTCTATCTCCTTTCCTTCCTTACACACGTCTCCCGGTGACTGTGAACTTGATTGATTTTACAGTTTTGGCTGATGTTCACTCACTCACTCGCGTTCCTTTCCTTTTCTCGCTCTTTAAATGTCACCATTAAATGCAAATTGGTGTCGACTTCGCTTCGCGCTGTCTTAACTTTTACTTCTTTCTCGCACGTCATCTGTGAGCGCACGTGCGCGCGTGGCGGACCATTTTTTTCGAACACTGGTCGAAGATTGGAGAGTCAACTGGAAAGGACTTCGAAGAGAGAGAAAGTACAGTTTTCGAGTAAAAGAGCCACCGGCAAACGATGAACGAAACGAACGATGGCTAAACGCTAAACATCAGACCGGCGGACGGAACAAGCTCTCTATAGATGCCTGCAAAAGTGTTGGGAAGAAAGAGTAAGCTCGAGAAAAAAGTGAGCGGGCAGCAACAGCAGCAGCAGCTCTCTGCTTGCTTGCCTGCTCCATCAGCAATACCACTTTTTGCACTTCCTTTCTCCCAATATCCTCTCTTTCCTTTAGCTCAGGAGCCCAGAGAGCTTCCACGCGTGGCTCCAAACTGTCTGTGTGCGATGTGTGTTTTGCCTGCATTTTGCCTGGCGTCAAGTGGTGGTCGCCGTGGAAGCTGCCGACTGAGTGGCTGTGTGTGTGTGTGTTTTGCGAACTCGGTCATAGACGTCACCAAGGCAGTGATGTTTAGAGAAGTTTAGCGGCAGCAGCGGCCCGGCAGTGACAATAGACGCAGCGGCGGAAAACTTCATCATCTTCATCGGCCGATGCTTTAGAGAGCACCTTCGACCACCTGTTGCTCTTTCGTTTTCGGTGACATATATTCCTTCCTGTTGTCTCGAAGTTTTTCTCTTTTCTTTTCTTTTCTCTCACCTCAACCTCGTACCTCGACCCTCACCACCACCACCACGGTTATTATCACTGCTGAGTTGTTGGTGGTGGTCATTATCCCTAGTCCTAATCACAGCAGCTCTCCTGTGATGCAATTAGCGTTGAACTACTACTGTGAATTTGAATGCTCATATGTGTGTGTTAATTGAGTCACTAGTCACTTCTTCTTCTTCTGAGTGAAAGCACTGCTTTGACACTGTTCCACTCTTTCTCTACTGTTCTCTACTTTTCCGTGCGCGCACACCTCACCTCACCGATTGACAACACTTTACCGTTTGTCGTTGATTGAGATCGATTAGCAACGTCCCGCTGTTGTCGCTGTTCACTACTTTTCACTGCTACGGCTGTTGTTATTGTTTTTGTTCCGCATTGTCTTTCAAAGCAAAGGCTGTCTATTGCTGCAGCTGCACCTTCCCACGCTCTCTCAGACGTCTTCTTCTTCATCATCTTTATCATTGAATGTGTGTGTGTGTGTGTTTGTGTTTGTCCGGTGCACCTTCACCTCCGATTGATGTCTATCGACACAGATCAGATCAGGAGGAGTGAAGAGGATTCTCTCAGGTCACACCAGTGCCTGTTGATGTGTTTATTTGTTTTCCTCTTTTCTCTTCTTCTCTTCATTGCCAACTTTGTCGCAACAACCTCTTTCTACTTCAGCTAGCACTTTATCTTGCATCAACTCATCTCTGAGCGTTTGTGAAATCCCAGCACTATCTATCAAGTCAGTGTATCCCTTTCCTTTTCAACCACCGACAACAAATCAATCGGTGTTCTTACATAATAGCAAATAAATAAATAAACAAAGTGAGCACCAGTCACTTTCCTAAACTCACAAACAAACACACCAACTTCATTACCATCAATTGCGCATAAACATTAGCAATGAAGAAGAAAGTAACTGCAACTGAGCATCAACTGTGTTAGTTTTTGTCTGCTAATGTTATTAGTAATAGTGTAATATATCTCTCTGTGTGTAAGAACAATTTACAAACTATTACAGTGAATAAATTAATTATTAGTCACGCAGTCTGGCTGCAAAAACCTGCGGTGTGCTTTATCGAGGAGTAATCTGAGGAGGCTTTAAAATGTAAAATACCAAGACGACACTCAGCTTTTTTTAGCGCCTGTCAGTGTCGGTGGAAGGTCTAAAATAAATCTCAACCATCTTTTCTCTCTACTACAGCCATCAACACCAGTGACCTTCGAGGAGGTAATGGTGGTGATTTACTCTCTCTCTCTCTCTCTCTCTCTCTAGTAGTCAGTGCTTGATCAATGTGGTGTGTGTGTGACATCAGTAAAAGAAAATGCTGAAGCAGAAGATCGTATTTCTTTACAGCTATGTGTGTGTAGATAATAGTTCACCTGATGACTGAAAAAAAGTGTATCTTTCAGCCCTGTCCATCCGGTTCTCCTGCACCCGCACTGAACTTGACCGCCACTGTGTTTGTGTTTTTGTGTTTTGTTTACCTCGTCCAGGACTCGTGCAACTCAGCACAGCACATCTCTAAATTAAAGATGCTACTGTTGAATTAATTAAAATCAGTACGTGAAATCAGTGGTCGTTGTGGTGATTGTGGTGGTGTGCCTGCACGCGGAAAGCCTTGCTCAGTGAAGACGGGGTGATGTTTGGAACACGCTGATGTTGCCAGGCACAAAAATTACAATATTATTGACAGCAGTATTGAACAGAGCGGTCTTTGTTGAAGTCAGTAAGTGCATCATCATCATCAACAGCAGCATCATCTCCATATGCGTTGAATGATCGATTGCCTTCATTTGCACGGCCTTTTTCATTAATCAATGAAATGGTGGTGGTCCTCCTTTGAATAGGAACGACTCAAGTGCACTCTCTCATTTTCTCCCTCTCTTTCACCTGTCAGTGTCCTCTGTGATCTTCAGTGTTCAGTGCTGCTTCAAGTACCCCATCTTGAGGGATGTCTTCATCTTCATCTTTTTCTGCTGCTTTTGAATCATCTTTTCCTTTCTTCTGACGTCAGCAGTGTCCTCGTGTGCTGGTCAGAGTGCTGTTTGTTTTGAGCTGCTGCTGCAACTGCAACTGCATCTCATCTTCACTTCACTGCCGAGGTGACCCTAAATTGTCAAGTTGTATGACCAATACTGTACAAAAGCACATCCTTCCTCTGAGAGAGAAAATCAACATCCAGTGACAACCACCACCACCACCACTGATTGAACCTCAACAACGTTCGGATTATTTGACTTTCGCTTTCCTGTGCCGCTGCCCCTCAACGACCACGACCACTGTGGCCCCTTCTTTACTATCATTGCCTACTACTTCTTCTTCTTCTTCATCACCACCACCACGGTGACCTTCATCTTTGCGGTGGCAGTAAGTCAGTCAGTCAGTCAGCCTATCTCTTTCTCTCTAGTTCAGCTTCAGCTTTTCTGATCTAGTGTCGCCGAGCCGATCGAATGAACACACACCGACCGACCGAGCAGGCATTTGCTGAAGTGTCGCTCCCCTCTCGATTGAACAGCAGTGGAGCAAAAATTATCAGAAGTAGTTGCAGCAGCTATCTATGCAGGCGGCACTGGCAGA